ACGGAATAACTGACGATCTAGTACCTAATTGGAATTATTCTGATGATCATCACGATACAATATTTATAGAATTAGAAGATCAAGGACCTCACTGGGATAATAATGAAGGATCAAATTCGCCATCAATCACAATACAAGGATTACCAGAAGATGTTCCAATAATTCCAGAACAATCACGTGCAGTTAGCTCTCAAGATATCAATGATAATATTAATGTTATCCAGGACGTAAGAACTTCTTCGCGAGGAGCTATACGAACTCGGTTAGAGTTACAACATGCAGAAGCATTAAGAGACAATGACATTAGTGGTCTGACTGAACAATTGCGTACGAGTTTGAACGAATCGGAAGAGGGTTCTGAGACAGAGGATGGCTCAAGGACGCCTATTCAAGCTGATATTATTGACTCGAATTTAAATACATCAAGGCAAATTCAACAAAGAGAAACTAGTCAAAATCCGATGGAAAATCAGGACAACACCATATTCCAGTTTACGCTCCCTCCAAGACTTCCAGCTCGAATTCAAAATCGTGATCTTAATGTGTTCTCTACGAATTCTCAATCTACTGGAGAACAAAGTAACAACGATTCTAATACTTCAAGAGAAGGAACGAATGTAAATCAGCGAAATTCCGATTCAAGTTCACAAAATAAAAACTTAAAATTTACGATTCCACCTTCGCGATCACTGCCTCAAGATTTAGTTCTTTATGCTTCAGCTGGAGATTTGTATCTTCTTGATCCAAAAGCGCGGCTTGAGCCTCTGCATAGTGTATCACGGATTGTTCGTCAAAGTGATGTTAGGTGGTTGCCTCATTTGCAAGGATTTGATCGATTAAATATGATGGAGGTAAGCAAAAAGATTACCATATAATTATATTTGAAAGTATGCTAATAGGACAGTTTTTTGTAAATAATTGTGTAAAGTGTATACCAGAACTCTCTCTTGCAATCGTTGCTAGTCAAAAAGGAAAAGTAGCATTAGTGAGATTACTGAGGTAAGTTTCGAATATGATTCTACAAAAAATAGCAATAAAAAACTTTTTATTTATCTTTAAGGAATTGATTATTTTATAGAGTTTCATCAGAGGGAGGAAATGATCGATATATTCTTCAACCTGAGAAATACCTGCCATTGATGCAAAACATGCCGATGGAGCCATTACTTGGTAATTGAGAAACTATGCTTATATATATATGTGTGTGTGTGTGTGTGTGTATATATATATACATATATATAAAGTTATTTATTATTCTTAACGGTGAAATTAGGGATGTGTGTCAGCAAGCAAATTTCATCATCATCGGATCCAGCTTTTCATTATTATCGGTTATTTTTGCTTTATCTTGATGGAAACTTATGTTGCTATGAGATCAGTCGAGATATCGAAACTAATCCTTCTTATGGCGCTTGATCTACTATTACTAAATAGGAAATCCTTCTTATGGTATTACTAAATAGGAAATGAATAATTCATTATTTCGATGATTGAAATTGTTCATGTATTTTTTTTGTACAAATTCTTTTTATATTTTAGTCACTAATAATTTATAGTAATTTGTTTAATATTATCTAAACATCAAAAATTAAATTCAAAAGAAATCTAACGTTAACACTATTGATTTATTTTTAGTTCATAACGATAAGTCTATTCATTGGATATTTCTGTTTTCTTTGTCTCGTTAATTCCTGTTTATTCTTGTTATAATCATTGGCTGCGGTCTTCGACGATAATGTTTAGGATCGCCAGCATCTTAGATTGGGAATAACGTTTACTTTTGTATGATTTACAGCATTAAATGATGATCGATTGATGTTGTATAAACATCATCCATTCATTCAAAATATTTTATCATCTTTGACTCTTTCTTTATACGATAAGTTTTAAAAAATCGTCTAACTTGAACAAATCACAGTAAAAAACAAATAAGATCTTAAAGAAAAGAATGAGCACAAAAATCAATAAACCGATTTATTTTGGTAAGATCAAATGTTATGATATTTACTCGTAACGTTACGCACAGCAACTTATATATCATCATCTTACTATATCAAGAAAAAGATCTTCGCACAATTCGATCACATTTTTGTCTCTTCGCAATCTTTAGTTAGATGGATACTTTCATGTGCAATAATTAAAACTAAGTTTAATATTCGCAACTGATACTTTGCAACTGCATTGCTTTTATTTTTTCGTTTTGAAGCGTTTAATCGATTAAAGAAAAAAAAAATTAAAAAATTAAGCGTCAATAATAACGATTCAAAAATTGATTTATATTTTGAGTTTTACATAACATACATACATAAAATACATACATACATACATACATAACATAAATAACATAAATAACATAACATACAAATCATTATCTAGTTATATCCTGTTTCGGGAATCAAGGGAAAACCCACAACTAACGAACGCACGGGCACCCCAAATAAATAAATAAATAAATAAAATATTCGAAATATAACCATCGTTGTTACAATAACAATATCTCCAAATT